TTTTTGTCCTTATCTTTCCATGCGTATGTTCAGCAAAAATATGAAAACACAAACATATCACATTCTTTGGTTCACACTTGAACCACGTCATCCTCTTTTTATCATTTTAAATAAAAAAAGGAAGAAAGACGAGGAGACCTGGAAATGGTAACGTCGGTTGCCGATGCCCGGCTACACCACGTCTACAGTCGATTTCATCTAGAGCCGCAACTTGGACGAGCCGACTTCAACAATATCTGGGCCTGACCTCATATCTCCAACTTCAAAGTCGGCCAGCATCATAGCTCAAGTTTCACGGCCTCTTGGGAAAGTTTGGATCTCCGCACAACAACAGATTGAGATCTAATAATTTAAACCGATTCGGCGCCCCGACTTTCACTATCACAGTCGACTGACTTCATCTTATCAGGATCTTGGTATCTATGACACCAATCACCGGGGGCCGAACTCACCGTCGGGCAGCCCTTGTGCGACGACATCGCAGTAGACCAGGGACCCATCTCACCACGAAGTACCCCGAAATGCGACGAAACACGACCACTATCTACCCGGCCTCGTCATCTATCGACGAGCTTCAACGCCATAGCGGCCGACCACATCACTGGCCGACGTCACCATAAACACCTCAACCGACCTCAGCGGCAGGGCCCAAGCTCGGATCTCAGAATTGTATCCGACCTCCGCGTCACCGCCAAACCTCGTCTCCTTTGACCTCTAATCCGTGGTACACATCCCCGATTACGGCAATCGGAATTTCCATCTCCACCCATGCCGACCCACGATTTGCCGATTAATTGCCTCCGACGCTCAAATTTCTCGGATCCAATTGCTTTGCGTTGTGAGGAACAAATCCACGATTTTGTCTTATCCCGCTTATTGGGCCTTTAGGCCCAAAAAGAATAAAGACATGGGCAGCAAATTTAGAGAGTAAGAAGAAGGAATGGGCTGTGATTATTTATTTAAAGCGACGAAGGTCGGGCTGTGATTATTTATTCAAAGCAACAAGAGCCGGGGCCGAGTTTTTTTCAAACCGATGAATGCAAGGGCCAAAATTAATTATCGATGTCGGGGCCAAAGTTATACATTACTGCTGAGGTCGATCTTTTATTTCCGACGTCTATATTCGCTCGCCATTGATCCTCGACTCCGGCTGAGCCAACGTCTCTATATCCGCTCGCCGTTGAGCCTCGACTCCGGCTGCGCTGGCGGCTTTATATTTCTTCGATGTTGAGCCTTTACTCCAGCTATTAAAAAGAGCTGAATCTCGAAAAATAGTTCAGTGCATAAAAAATGTGTGTCTTCCCCGCAAGAGGCAAGGCATAGAACCTACCATTGGGAAACACAATTAACGGACTCTCGAAAAATCAGTCCACCTTGCATAAGCCTCACTTCCTAGTCCCAAAGATGACCTGGACAGGCTAATGCAACACAGCCGGATACTTCCAAGCCCTGAAGATGGCTTGGGGAGGCTGATGCCCGTCATAGGTCATTTCCATAGGCAAGACATCCAAGACAGGTAATTATTTACAAACAGACAGGATCGAAAAGACAAATCCCTAAATCCTGAAGTTGATTTAGCGGGCTTACAATAAAAAACCGACATCAATAATGCAGTCGGATCAAAGTCTAACATATGTCAAATCCCACAGCTGATTTGGTAGGACTAATCCATAAAAATACCAAATCCTTAAGGT